CGCGCGCTTTTGGCTATTTAAATTTTAACAATTATTTTCACCAAAAATAGAAAAGATTCCAATAAAATATTATGACAGTGTGTTTAAAATAGTTTTCAGAAAAATGTCAACTACCCTTCGAGGAAAAGGGATCTTGCCATACAGCCTTGTCTTAGGTAATATTATGATTATTCTGAATTGTTGGTCTTTAACATTTAATAATTTCTTAGACAAAATCGAAATCGTACGAAGGTACGATCGTACGAATCGTGTTATCGTGAAACAAATTATCATCTGAAATGGAATTCTGATGTAAACAAAAGAGTTACCATTACAACAAATAGTTTAGATTTATCTCTTTAAAAGCTTTTAGTCATTTTTTACTTGAACTAAAAATCTATATTTTTAGATAAAAATGGGATAGAAATATTTTATGCTGCAGGCAAGAAACAGCGATTCAGAACATTTGGCTCATTGAATTAAACTTTTTTTATTTAGTATGATTTATCGTAAAAATATTTATAAATAACACGTTTTCCCTTGTTAATTAAAAGAATAGTAACAGTTTTTCATTAAAAAAATAATATTGTAGAAGAGCTTAATGTGTTTTGTAGTTCCAATTAGAAGAATTTAAGTTGTAATCATGTCAATGTTTGTACCTTTAAGGGCTCATACTACCAATTAATCATTGCTCCAGATGCTTTCTATAATATGTTTCTGTTGAAAACTCATCAAAACACATCAAACTCTTCTACAATATTAATTTTTTAATGAAAAACTGTTATTTTTCTATTAATTAACAAGGGAAAACGCGTCATTTATAAATATTTTTGCGATAACAGACGGAAAATGGCCGTTAGGCAAATTTGACAGATAAGCTACGGATAGTAAGTTTGACAGTTCTACCGACGGATAGATTTTTTATTGAAACACCTTTTTGCACCATTTTCATACATTTTGTCTACGAACGGTTATCAGTATCAGATCAATCCGTTAGTAGCACACCGTCGGTAGCTTTACCTACCAATAGTATGTTATTGAAACACTTTTTTGCTACCATCGGTAGGAAATGCTACGGATGGTAGCAAAAACTGATAGTTTTTTGGTTATTGAAACGGGAGGTAAGTCGACTTTCCGACGGCGGTGACACATGAGAAGATGACTCATACTTTATTGCGATGTCGTCGACGGAAGAAGCTTTGTGTTATTTTAAGAATTATATCATATTACATCTTAAAAACTAAATAAAAAGACGAAATTGAAAAGTGTGGGTAAAGAACTGGCTTACTAAAAGAGAGTGTTTATCACATGAATAGGGATGATAACTAATTTTTGTTTGTTTGACCGTCAGGTTGATTATTGAAAAATATTAAAACATGTATTTTTTTATATGACGGTCATTCTTATTTAATAAGAGAGTTAAGTGTTGAGAAGGATGATTTACATAATTCTATATAAAAAATAAATTATTTAAATTACTCATATTAGATCAAACATCAAACAAAAAACTTTGCTCCTCTTCGGATTGATTGATGAAACAAACAGTGCTGCCACTAGCACGAGCATAGACAAGCTACGAGTAAAGTGGGTGATAGACGTGCCTCAAGTTCGCGTATTTATCCGCATGTCTCTCACCCACTTAAGATTTCAAACCGTTTGGATTGCCGGTGAATTTGCATGGCAATAAGGAAGTATTAAAATAAACGATGGCACTAAAAAAAACATCCACTAAATGGCGACTCTAGCAAAAGTTGATTTTTGCAGGCAACGAATGTACCAAAGACAGTCATTTGTTTGAATCTTAGATATCAATACAAATACGTAAAAGTACGAATAGAATATGAGTTGTTTATTGAGTGCTGAAAACTTATTTACTTTTAAACATGAAAGAAAACCGGAAGGGTTGTCGTGGAGAAATCAAGGACGTAACGTAGCGACATCTAGTTAGATTTCGGGAACTTATTTTTTTTAAGTTCTTCCTCATACTTAAGATGACACACAAGCGAAAAAGGAAGATAAATAAATAAAAGAAACTAAAAAACTTAAACTGTAGAATTTGTGTATTAATGTATTCCTGCATGTCTAACATGATAAACTCGAGAACACCTTATCTACACTCAGATGACAGTTTCTCAGATCTAGAGTAAATATCGTATGGGCACATTCGAGAAAAGTGACATTTAGGTGTAAACAAAACGTTCTCGAGTTTATCATACATCGCATGCTATGCCATTTTACGTTAGTAATAAAAACATGATTTAAGAACATCTGGGTGGGTATAACGGTCATTCCATTTTTCAAAAATGATGAATCTTGACTGTTATTTTTTAATTTTTAAATCTATATACAAGCTGATATCACCATAGATTTAATAAGTACTACGTACAACTGGAATGCTAACTGCGATCTTTTTGACATATCTAAATGAACCTTAATGATATGTGAATAAAGTGTTTTTTAAATAACCATTATCTACATAGAGAAATGAGCTCAAGTGAGACATCTTTTTTCTTGGTGTGTCTCTGTCGCACAATTGCCATGTGAAATATTGTTGATATAAAGGTGGTAAATTCGTGAAAACTGTTTACACAGAACAAAACGTTTTCTATATGAATATTATATTTGGCTTGTTTATAAGTTTACTAATAATATAAATGCAATAACTTTTAGGTCCAGATAAATCAAAGTTTTTATATTTCACGACATTTCAATATTGTAGGCATGTTTTATTACCTTTACGTTATGCAACACTAGGTAAATTGAAGTATTCACGTGGCACCACAAAAGCAACATGGCGTTTTCTTTTTTGTCATATGGACTTGTTTTTAATGCTCTCTGAATTAAAAAAAGTGCTTTAAATAGTATATTGGATTGAAAAATGGTAAACAATATATGTGCTGTGAGTGGGTATGGGAAAGAATCGTACCTGGCTGTGGATTATCTTTTCACAGGTAAGTATGTCATCAGTAGAAACTAGGGTGACTATACTTGACGTATAGAGATGTAAAGTACGTACGTACTATAAGCATAGACCCTATTATTGCCTAATTAAGTACTAAATTTAAAATTGTTGTATCACTTAACACTTTGGTTATTCACTATTTGCAAGTCTACCTACATTAAGCAAGCATGTGGAGGCTCATAAATGGGTATCCTTTAATAATTTTATTGGTCAGTAGGCTTATCGTTTGATCGATCTTTTGCAAATATCTATTTACACACCAAACCAAACCAAATTATTACTATAATAAAAAATATACATTTTAATTTAAATTTCCAGTTCGCCATTGGATTTAGAGTTAAAGAAAAAATGGTTGCTACCTGGGAACTTACATGAAAGCTGTGTGGTTTGTACACTTCATTTCAAACCCAAAGATTACCGAACAGAGGCTCGAAAAAGGCTGAAATCAGAAGTGATTCCTTCAATCTTGCCAAAGGTTCCTACCTAATATTAAAGGACTCATTTATAAACAACATTATATCGAAAATAATAAGTTAAAACAACAATTCATATTATAACTTATTTTTATGTACCTACCTAATTTCATTACAGATTTTTCCTGATAACAAAAAAAAAAATGTGTTAAACGCCTTTAGTTATACGCCTGACTAAAGTCCTTCATGTAAGAAGTTAAAACTTGATATTAATACTAGGCGAAAATCAAAAGAAGAGACATGAAGATGAAGATTAATAATTTAAAGTCACTTTTAGCAGTTTTAAAAGAAAATTGTAAAAATTATGAAAAGGTACAATCTGTCATAACAAACTGTTTCCCAAATATTCATCACCAATTGAACAAAAATAAATCCAACAAAGGCATGAGATTCTCATAATAAGAATGTCAACTTATGGCAAAGGTCTCACATTCAAGGCCATTGGCACATCTCGCGCTACTTCACGCCATAAATTGCACAAAACAATTTTGTTAAGTAATGTTTAATTTTAAAATGTAAACAATACAGTAATAATAAAATATACTATTTTGATTGCGTTTTATTATTAGGTCTTCCCCCAGTGGGGGGGGGGAGGCTGCCTATGAAATTGCTGATTTTGATAGTTTCAAAATTTATTATTGTTGAGTTGAGATTGAATAAGATTTTTTTCTGCTTCATATTAATATTATTCAATTTCAATAATCAATATTTTCTTTTAATGTCCGATGTATTCAGAGATGGGTATTTCTTCGGAAATTCATCTTCCAGTATGATAATTGAAGAACAATAATGACGGATGCATTATTGTTCTTCAAAAATGTTGAATCTTGACTGATATTTTATTAATTTTAAAATCTATTTAGAATCCAATATTACAGATTTAATTATTTTTGAATAACAATAATGACGGATATATTAAACCAGAAGTTGAATTTTCGAAGAAATAATTTTACACTTAGGATAAAGATGATTTATTCTAATAATTATATTCGATCAATTTTGCATTAAAAATGCTATAATGGAAAAAAATCTTAATGAAATAAAAGAATAGCATTGTGAATGCAAAAATGATCAAATATAATATAAGCTAGAATAAGAATTTTTTCTGCTTCATATTAATATTATTCAATTTCAATAATCAATATTTTCTTTTAATGTCCAATGTATTCAGGTAAGAATGGTTACACTACTTGGAAAGGGACAAACCAAGATTTATGACCTCTCACTCATGTGTTTAGCGCGTGTTTAGACGCACAGTAAGCATTCTAGTTGTACGTAGTACTTATTAATTCTATGGATATCACAGCAGACTCTCATGAGACAGATTTCAAAAAAATGACAATTAATTTTAATTATTTTTTAAAAACGCTAGTGATAACGTTTGTATCAAACCGGAAGTTCGGTTTCCGTGGAATCACGGTAAAATTGTAGGTAGAAATTATATGCCGTGTCCATATACTTTTAGGTCAATGATGTAATCCACGCTCTTTCACAGAACTTCTTGTCTATATACTTTACTCTTTGTTTTTGTCCTATAATGACATTTTTGTTTATATTCTCGTATAGTCTCTTTGAAAGAAAGAAATGTCATAACGTCGCGCGTGTACGTACGTCGCGGAGAAGACGATTTTGGTTGTTCTAAATTTTGAATGACTTGTGACGAAAATAGTATAGTGAAATGATATTGATAGATCGATAAAACAAAGGTTATTTTCCTTATAATTAATAAAATCAGTGTTTATATCAGTATTCAGTGAGTACCATTATGAACTTTGAGGACTATGAAACTCTTCCGACCAGTCAAAATTTTACCACACACATGACCGCTGGAGCGATTGCAGGGGTGATGGAGCATTGCATAATGTATCCCCTCGATTCAGTAAAGGTAATGTTGACGCTATTGAGAATTGAGATTCTGTAATTATTTAAATTGGTTACTGAGCCACTTTTCTTCAACATAACCTAATCAACTCTTGACAGTTTGGTGTATTACGCCACTAATTTATGCGGTTATGTAAAAATGATTAATTCTTTATGGAACTTATAGTATGATTTAATGTCAACAAACTGTCATAGTTAATCTAGAATATTTGTGTCCAAAAATAAAAGTATGTATAATATGGTTTTAATTAGTTAGCATGTCCATCAAACCATTTTAAATACAATCATCATTTAGTAAATAAATTCATAAATTTAGTAAATAAATGAATAGAAATAAACACATATATAGAATACTAACTATTGTTGTCACTTAAGTTAATCTATATTATTTATTTAAAACAGATAAACCATTTATTATCAATTGTTCTATAAATAATATATTTTTTTGTGAAATGAATAATCCTTCCTTGTATAAACACATTGTAATTTCCTTGTATAATCTGTTATTATTGTTATTGTTTATGCAGTGTAATATTAAATAGAATGATAGATGTAAATGACCTTGAGGTGCATGGTTATATCTATAGATTCATCATAATTATAAAAGATGAAACAGCAATGATTACTAAACTATGATGTTTTAAAGTTATAGAGCTTCATGCATTTTTATTGATTTGGTTTCCACATATTTGTATTTCAATTACATCTTACTTTAGGGTATTTTATTAATTTAAATATTGAGTATAATCATAATAAATCAACCTGTTGATACAAATAAAAAACAAAACACCATCTATATATATCCTATGGCAATGTTAAAGATCAGCTTTGAAATTGATTTATAAAAACCACCTTTCATCCTCTTCTGTAGGAAGTTAACAAGGTGACCCACTTGGGCCGGTACTTTTTGGTTTAGCATTCAGTCAATTTTTAAACTAGATTCTAAATTTAATGTGGTATCTGGATGATGGCACTGTATTGAGACCAAAGCCGAATCAGTTTTTTCAGATCTAAAATATCTAATCAATTATTTTTTTTAATTGTGACCTAGAACTTAATTTTAGTAAATGCAAGCTCTATATTCGTAGCATAGTCAATGAAAAATTTTATGTTTATACAAAATATCTAGTGTTACTCTCCCAGCATTTTTATCTATGGTCCATAGCACCTATGATCTGAATAATTTTTTTTTTATCTAAATCATCTTCAACTGCTGCTATCTCCAATATGGCCAAGGCAAAAACTGATTGGGAGATATTATCTACCAGAAATTATTTCATGAACATATCTGCCAATTCTGCAGAGCATGCTCGTCTTTTAGCTGTCACTGAATGGAAATCTAGTCTTTGGTGACAAGGCTTGCCATCATCAGCTGTTGGAACACTTCTAGATAATACAACATTCCGCCTTGTAGTTTATTTATGCCTAGGTGCAACTTGTTACATCCCTCATCTTTGCCCTTGCAATGAAAAAGAAACAGTGAGATAATCTGTTAAAAGTTTGTACATCATCTTGTAATTTCATTTTCCAGAATCATGTATATTTATTTATTTTTGTTATCTATCTTTATCTTCATACCAGCCCAATCCCTTGTGGATTAATTGAGAGAATGCTACAAGACACAGTTCTTAAATACGTCTTACACCTCCTCTACTTTCAACTGCATTTATTCTACCGGGATGCCCCTTTCTGACATACCTAATGTTCGTAACCATACATGTGATTTAAAAACTTAACAGATACAAATGTATAGGGTATTATAAGAAACCTCACATCATTCCAAGTAACACTACTTATATACCTTTCAATATGGCAACTATATGATGTCTTTTAAAAATATAAAAAAATAATAGATATTTCTTCAATTATAACAATATGAGTATCAAACTGAAGGTCTTGATTAGTACATCCCAAAATAAATATAAATGTTGGTTAATAATAAAAACAGTGTTGCCAATCCATCATACAACTTATTTCTTTTATTTTTAGTTAGATTTAGGCAGTTGTGTTCAAACTTGAAAAAATACTATATGCGATTATTAGATATTTCATAATTAAAAAATTACCGATTTCTTCTCTTGTTGGAGTAAAAGTAATTAGTTACCGTTCCATAAATCTTTTTCAGTTAAGTTTTTCATTATTTATCTCATAGAAAAATATTTAAAAAGAATTTTTATGGTGACATTGTTTAAAGTGCTCAACCTCGTCACCCTTATTTTTAAGTGTAACACAATGTTTTTTTATTATTCTCTAATCTGAATCCCTAACATTATAATACATATTAAGACTTTTAAGTGTAACAAATGTTATCGAAATGCTTCATTCCATTAATGATTCAAGGCCACTAATAGAAAAAATAGTGACTCACGCCTCTTTTATTCCATTAGCCGAACAAAAACTACAAATATGACTGTTAGTTTTTCTCTTCAAAAAAAAAATGCTGAATTTATTATTGCTTTCAAAGAAAATATATGTTGGTTGATATTATCATTTTATTTAATGGTTCAGCTAGTATCTGGTATTCTTTATCTCATAGTCTAGTTAAAATTTTAATCGAATATGCCTTAAAAATTCAAATAAGTAAGGCAGCAGTATAGGAGGATGTTATCCAGTATCTCGGTATTGACGTAGTCGCGACTCTCCCTATACGTGTGAGCTCTGCGCCCAGTAATTTACAGTTTTGATAAATCACTAAAGGTCCAATGTTTTGGACAAATCACTAAACATTGGAAGCTTTCCGGAAAGTGTCGGGAAATTGTCTAACTTTTGTGTATTGGCAATTAAATGATTGAGAAAAAATAATCTGTTAATGAACAAGAAAGATAAAACCACCTTAAACAAAATCACAAAAGTAAGGATAAAAGCAAGAATATTAAAAAGACAGAATTAGGAAGACAATGACATCTATTACCAAGACTGGGGAGATTAAAAACATGGATACCTAAATTAAAAAACATAAAACAAACCCTTGAAACTAAAAGATATATTTTAAACATAGCTACAAACTTTTACAAGGCCTTGTATTCAAATAAAACTTTAGAATCATCAACATTTGTGGAAGAAAATAAATATTATTATTATATTATAAGATATTGTATAATAACCACCCGACTTCAAACAAAAAAACTTTACCGATTATTTTTATTTGAAAATTTAGTGAAAATTTCAATATAACTTCGTGATTATTGTTTTTTGCAGTTAGTCTATTTTCTTCTTTAGTTAAAATTTGATGATTGCTGAGTTGATTCTTGGGAAAATAAGAAATGTTATAAAGATAATTTTTTTCCGATAGCACTTGTTACTGAAATCAAATTTCCGCAACTTTGACTTTGCGTAAATGTTGACAGTGACGGATTTACCCTAAGGCCATAGTAGGCATAGGGATATTCTGGGGGGTTAAAAATCGAAGTTTGGGCGTGGGGCAGTTCCTACTGGATTCCACTCCCTACCACAAAAGTGAGAGTGCATCGAAAGGGAATGTTATCCGTGTAATGCAGGCCGATTTATAATACAAAAAAAGGACTGCCAGATGTTAGAGGTGAAGCTGAATAATGAAATACCGAGTCCTGAGATTGTATCTTCATTTATCTAAACAAATTTTAAAGATTAATTATTATTTATACTGATAGATTATACAGGTATACTGATCTGAGAAGAATGAGAAAACAGCTATGTTTTATTCCCATTCACAATTGTTGTTACTCTGATATTTATTGTGTCACATACAATGTAATGCTATTTTAGACGTTTCTATTCTACATTGACATACGTTAACATACTTTTTTTTTTAAATATATTTCAATAAAAATTATCAGAAAAGTAAATTCATATGCAGTGCCTTATTATGAAAGCTAAATAAGTGGCGGCTATATATATATGGCCTAGGACGGCTAAATTCACTAATCTATTTGGCTGTTGATGGTACTGAGCAGGGTGCTGGTTAATAAATATTTGGAGTAATAGTAGCTTCTCTTTTAGCTTTATCTTGAATTATCATTTTAACATTTTCCGGACACTGTTTACATTTATTTAAACAATGATATTATTTAACTTTGTAGCGATGATTCGACTTGCAGTTTTCGTCCCATCTGTATTTATTTAGCCATAGGTAAAAATCGCAGTATTTAAAATATTTGTGATAATAATTTGACTAAACAAATGTCATTTATTACGTATTTAAATTATGTTTTGTGCATAGTAATATAAATTGATAAATATTAGACAACATCACATGCTCAGATTCCAAGATGAGTAGCTAAAGCCCCCGTATTATGGAGTATCTGAGACAACGAAAGTAACACAAAACCCAGACCCGAGACAATATAGAAAAGTAAATTTTCTTCATCGACCCGACCGGGAATCGGACCCGGGACCTCAGAGATGACAACACCTTGAAACCGGCGTGCGAACCACTCGGTTACGGAGGACGTTCAAACCTTTTTTATGATAAAACAATGTTAACGTGGTAATATATATATGAGAATAGTATAATTTACAACATATTAATATATAATCGGTAAATAATGATTTCCAAGAAACAAAATTAAACCAACAAAAAAATATTTACCCCGCCAAACTTTCAAAATTGCTGGAAGTTTAAAAAGTGTTCAGGAAAGTTTCCTCAGAGAAGGAAAGTTTCGCGGCAATTTTCATCTCTACCAGTAACCTTGTAATATTCGTAGATGCTGCAATTGGGCTAGGGTTGAAAAATCCACAATTTTATACAACACCTAGTATAAAAAACGCATTTAGCTTAGAAGTGAATGTTCTGGAGGCTGGGCAATCTCACCTATTCGCCCTCTCGTCCGTACAAATCAGTTTGCCGGCATGCAAACCTAGTTGTGACCAATTTTACAAGCACACATGCATGGGTGTACCACTTCTTACGTACCTAGTAATATAGGTATTTTTTACCAAACTGCAACAGAAAGAGGGTTATGTTTTACGTGCGTATGTATTTTCTTTTATCAAATATATCAAGATTAAAAAAAGATTACTTTTTTATCAACAAAGTTTCACAATTAAATATTTGTTGATTCTTTTCGTTAATTCGTAATAATAATGCAATTTCATTTTGTATTTATAATATTTATTCCCATTACTTATGGTCAAATCTGTCAATGTAACTGCTCCCGTGAGAAAGCGTGGCGGGTAATATTTTCACTGACTGTGATGAAAACCGCTGCTCTAGCAACGGAAGATCCGTCAGGCGAGTCACGAAATTATGCGTTATACGCCAGAACTTCTGATTGGCAAGGCTTTTTAATTAAAGACACGGTTGATATTTGGTTACTATCTGGCCTGATCTGATGATAGGTAATGTTTAGCCCAAAATGGTATATGCCTACCTAGGAAGTGTCCATTTATTCTGGCTATAACTGATAAGGATGTAAATAATTGGGGAATAAAACTTCACTGAAACGGAACTTCGGCGAAATTCAAAAACATACCGTTAAGGAGAACACACTAAGCAGTTAAGTAAATCGCTTGTTCATTGAAGTTTTGTTGCTAATATGTTAGTGCTATGGTTAAAGTGGTAGCTTTTTTATTAACGATTTTTTGAAATGGTGTATTTAGAGCCAAGGCATAGTGTTGTCATGTTGATCATGTCTGTTGATGACTGGTGGCATGAGCTTATCAAACAGTTGTTGAATGTGTTAATTAATTCTGAACACTGAAGAAAAATAAAAAAATGATCTGGAATGTCAAAATGTATTGGAAATTCATATAAAGGAAGTTACGCGGGAGAACCACTGGACTGTTGTGTATAGAAGTTTAAAAACATCAGTAGAATTTAATTGTACATTTGTACATAGACCGATGCTTTACGCACCTAATTTTAGAGTAAACATTTGAGCACAATGAGAATGCAAATTTATCTAAACATTCAAAGTTTTATTGAATTCAATTCATAAACTTGGATTATACAAGAAAATAGTCGGCTTTGTTTGCTTTTTGCCAGCAGACTTGCGTAAGGAATGCGGTATCACAATCATCTGCACCTTTCTGTGTGCCGCAACCTCGTAGGCTGCCTTCATTCTTGGTTTTTAAATCTTCCGGCAGCATCGCCAGCACTGCTTCTATATCTATCTCACCCTCTGACATCATACCAGCCGTTTCCATTATACATTTAATGTAACACTTCAACTTCGGATCCGGCATTAAGTCTGCCCCCGCGTTCACTTTATCAACGAGACTCAGATCCACGCCTGATTCTTCTCCACAATTGTCGTGCAACATTTTTGCCAGCTCGGCCATCTCTTCGTCTATACTGTACACTCCCACCAACATGACCGCTAACATTATTATCTGAGAACAACTCATTCCGATGCCTTCCTCGAAATGGAATGCCGCTGAATTAGCTGAAGCTAGACATTATATATAGACCTGTCAATGTCAAAATAATGGCTGATCACTACTTCTGCAAACTGACGCCTTAATTATATCATACATCAGCAGTCCGACTATTAAATAAAGTGCATATTTGTTTATTCAACGTAAACTTATCTACCATATGTAAACTGTAATTTTTCATTGATTACGGAGTCATTTGAAAAAATTATATCCTCGATGATGTTTATAACATGTTCGCAATGCTGGTTTTTTTTCTATCCAACACGTAAATTGAAGGTTCAAAGTAGTGTTTTATGTCGAAATAAATTTTGAGGTGTCACTTCTGTTAAACACGTAATTGATAGTTTATTTGCATAGTTAGGTAATTTACAATACCGTATGGTACTATTTCTGTCAAATAATTTTTGCTTGATTTCAGTAAATGAAGTTAATTTTATTTAATGTCTTTATGATTCATAGTTGACTATTCTTCCAAATGAGGTCTAATATGACTATGAAATCCAATATTCTGATACACAATTAGATCGAATAAAATCTTTATTGCCTTTTGGTACCAAGTTTTATTTGATTAAACCTCTAACTAATGAATAGCGCTGCTGAAAGTGTTGAATTGTTGTTGTGTTGTTTCAGACACGGATGCAGTCGCTGCGTACGGCGCACAACAGCACCATCGTTGAGACCTTCCGGTACATGGTACAAAGAGAAGGATTACTCAGGTGATAACTCGCATTATAATGATGATATTATAAGATACCAATTTCAAATTAAATGTCACGAAGCTAGAAAACGGACATAATAATTGTAGATAGCCGGTCTCTTTCAAGGTCCAAAGGTCTAAATAATTGTCATAAAAAAATATAAGGATACAAGAATGTTTCATCTTCTAATGCCTAAGAGTGTTATTAATAAACAAAGTTTAGCGTTGGAGTAACTTGACGCTGATATTGCACTTAGTATTAGTCAAAATTCATATTATTGAACAGAAACTTAGCAAAGTTTAACCAAGTACGAGGTTCTACGGGAGTAAAATTTACTCCTAGATGGTAGTAGGTTGGTTTATTCCCTGTATAAGTTGAATTATTGGACCATTATCCGATAAATATCTGATAATTTTCCATAATTACTGGCAACATTTTTTTTTTTAATACAGAAAGGCATTCATCTTTAAATGAACTTTTATTTTTGTCATTCAATTATAAACAAAAAAAAATAATAACTGTCAAATCACATTGAACAAAATGTGAAATGAAAATTTATATATTTTTTTAATGCTAAAAGAGGCTTTTAAATTATTTGTTTGTTTTTAAGGTATATTCTTGAAAATTTTACTGTATCAGAAAAACCATATTTGATAGTGGCTTCAAGTTTATTCTCCTTTAATTTCAAGTCCTAAAGTACAAAAGAAGTTTATAGTGTTTTATAATTGTCAATGATAATTAATCACTCCGATACCTGATTTAGACTAATACTAAAATCTAAAATTGCAATTTTAGCGTAAAAAGTCATGTCCACTTTCCATACATTGATTGACCTGTCACTTGTTTTCTTTTAAAGGTCGCGTCTACTAACAAATGTTGTTATTTTAAATTGGTTTTTGCTTTTAATTGAATTTTAACAAATATTTTTTTTCATTGAAAGCCCAGGGAAAAGTGTAATTTGTAAATAATATATTGAGGTTATAACAACTGCCAATACTCGAGATAATTGCGAATTTTAGTTTTATTTAATGGCATTTATTCATTTTATTGAAAATGTATTGAAATATTTTATGATTTTCACATCTCACACATCTTTAAAGTATTATTATAATGTAATATAGTTCAAAAAAGATCCTGTGTTTTTTTCGAAACATTTTTAATTTCTTTGCTTTGCTACTATTTCTTTGACCAAAGTATACTTGGAATATTAAAATCGATTACGTATAATGTTGTTTTCAGTCATAGATTATATTATAAAATAAAAATAAAAACAGTGTTTCTTATAATAGTTATTTAATATACGAGTGCGGAAAGTAAGGTTTTACGAATAAGGGCCAAATTGAAAACACGAGCGTAGCGAGGGTTTTCAGTGGCACGAATTCGAAAAACCTTTTACGCTCAAGTTTCTTACAACATTTTTCAATGCTTTTTGCGAGGAAATAAAACAAATATATAGGTTAATAAAACTGACTATGTATTAAAGGTTGAAATTATTTGTTAAAATTAAACGTGATATTTGAACATGTTTTTGTGTCATACTCGAAAAACCTTTTACGCTCAAGTTTCTTACAACATTTTTCAATGCTTTTTGTGATGAAATAAAACAAATATATAGGTTAATAAAACTAAGTATGTATTAAAGGTAAAAATTATTTGTTAAATTTAAACGTGATATTTGAACATGTTTTCGTGTCATACATTTTTATTTGAAAATATTCGTTCTAGGCTCCTTGAAATACTTTTGCCTCTAAAGTTTGACATATTTTCATCAATATTTTTTTTTAATTCTTTGGTGCTCGGCCAAAAAAAAAAAATTAAAGAAATACTTTTAAGCACGTGTACAGTAAAGGATTTCAGTACATTTTTATTTAACACGTGTTTAGAGACTCACTTTCGGTGTTTACAATGGATTAAAAAAATAGCACTTTATGAGCAACTGCATTGAAAAATTATTTTTTCACTACCACTATCTCCTCTTAGAACTACTTGATCCAAAAATGCAGCTGGAGGATTAATGTTATTTTGGTGCCTGGCTGCCTGGCCCAACCCAGACACCACACAATCATCATAACATGTGCACAACAACCTACAGTACGACGTCCTACAAGGCAATTGCAACAACATCGTCCATTAACACCATGAAAAACTTATCCCAAAAAATAATTAGTTATCAAGTTTGTTTTTTTTTTCCGAGTAGAAAAATATACAGGCCGGTAAAAAAATATATTTTGTGAATTTTGTATTTTTACGCCATTGGTGAGCGGCAGTGTGATGTGATCCCAGTGTGATTTATTTAAATAATACCTAGGGTAAATGTTCTTAAGAATGAACGGTCACGCAAATAAAAAGTCTATATGTACGGTACCTTACACTTCAACCGTGATACTGCAAATGAAAATGGGAGTCCGTTTGTAATCTAGAAAGTTTATCTGTATATCCTAGATCCATTAACAATTTTAAGTTAGAGAAGTCTAGGTACTTCTTCTTTTTAATCTGAATCTCCAAGTAGTGAAGGTTGGCCATCAGCTTTTTACAAACATTCCGAATTCACGCGAGTTGAAACAGCTGGGTTGCGTTAGTTATTCCCCTCCACTCTCTGATATTTCGGAGCCACGATTTCTTCCTCCTTCTAGCGCTTTTCTTCGCAAGTATTTGCCCATTATTATAAGTTGAAGTTCGTATCTCCGATGTCGAAAAACATAACCTAAATAGAGTTTTCGTCTATTTCGTTTCTTATCTGGTTGAAGCTTACATAGACTCCGAATCCTTTATTCTGATCGATCATCTAACCATCGCACAGCTTAATGACACGGAATGGATTACTCTTGTCATTGAGCACACGTAACTTCAACGGTTTACACAAGCTTAAATGAACATACTAAGAATTATCAATTTCTATGATCCCGATAAAAAGGGTTTCTGAATTGTTTGCGGTTTGGTTTTTAATAAAATTATATCTTATCGGCTTGGCAATAGTGGACGATAAAATTGCTATCGTTTGTAAATATACAATCTAATTGTAATTGTAAGCACACGTTGCCACTTGCCGCGTGCGTAAATAAATGTGTTAAAGTATTAAGAGAAAAAGTTTCACTGACACTGCGAAGCTCTTTTGCAGATACGATCAAAACTTGTTTCATTAAATGTCTAATTTGTGTGGAAATATAAGATTTTAATTATGTAAATAAGTATTTGAATGAATTTTTATCGTCGGTAGTTCATCGTTGAAACAATTAAAGAGTTTATTCCTTACGTAATAAGAAATATTTCAACTGTTTAAGAACTCGTGCTCTCTCAAACCTGTTACTATAAACAGGGGAGATTTGTATTTATATAGCAGAAACTATTTTATAACTGATCAATTAAACAATGAATAGCGTTGGGTAATAATCATAGTATGTAATATAATCTAATATTATCGTACCATGGCGACAACCGTGAACAAAAAGGCACAATGTGACCGTCACATATAATTAGTATGGTATAGATTTTTTTATCACCATGGAATAGTTTGTTTTAGTCTATAGATTCGTTTTGGGTATGCACACAGAATACAGACAGATATCAGGTGCAATATCATAGAATACCAAACAAAATAGCTTTAGCTCTTCCGTGATTCAGCGGCTCAATGAATCTTGGCGCCCTAGGCTACACTAAAACGACGCCCATATTACAACAGAATAAAACCCTGAAAGTACTACAGATATGTGCTCTGGATTAAAGAGTGTAATTTTTTGCAATTGTAAAAGAAACTCTTTAGGTACTGCTAGTTCGAAAATCTAATACCGCGGATATAGATTCATGTCCAAAGAACAAATAATGCCGACTTTATTTTTTTAAATATTTCATGGCGTCAAATAATTAGAGCAAAACAGTTTATGTCATACCGCCGCCAAAATTTTGTCTGTATGGACGGGCCGTCGGCGCTGCCATAGCTGAGTATAGGAATAACATTCGTCTTTCTTCCAAAATATTACAGACTAGCAACAGCATTATAAGTAAATTTATAATAATAAAGTATTACCGTTGCATTGTTTCAATTATAGTGCAACAGTGGTGGTGATTCAAAATGACAGGATTCTAGTACGAGCAGTCAGGGATAGCCATAATCAGTGTTTGTGATATGACCTATTATTACGTACGTATAGACTGTTGTGTGTAGTTCCATAGTGGTGTTATGTTATCTAGTGGTTTTGTCGTCTCGTTCCGTTATCAGAGTACTTGACTCATCTGGTCCTCTATCGTCATAATACAATACTGCATGTGGCGTACGGTGATGTTATTTTCGCGATATCTTTCCTAGGTGCTCTTTTGTACGACCTTGTCACTACCATATCACTGGTAGGACATAATTTATTGAAAATATTTGTCTTATGAACTTTTGGTCAGACTCCTATGAATACTACAAAACTTTTATGTATAATACTAGAAATGTTTGAAATCGGTAGTCACCTTGCATGTTCGTTCTTACTTATAAATTACACTAAAAGTAAAGATTTTTTTACCTAAACAGGAATTCATTCACCTTAACATCAAAACATTCCGTGAATGAGACGTTTGACGGATTTTCCATCAGATATGCACCGCTCCTAAGTATCTCACAATTATAGTGCGGTATTTGTTCTATCAGGCTAGTTCTGGGTTTCTAATGTAAATGCATTTAGTCCGATAATTTTTTTAAGTCGAAATTATGTTATTTTGAGGTAAACATATCAAATGCAATCTAAAAATCATAGAAATAATATTTAACGATTGATTTTACGATATAGTAGGACTATCATTCAAACTAATTTATCTACTATCGATCGATGCGGTAATGTGTTGTCTTATTGAATTGAATAGTATAATTTGAATTGACCTCGAACTTGTGATGTAGCTGAATATTATCCTAGTAGCTATCTTACTTATACACGATTACTCGTTTTAAGCTACATTTACGTCTGCCATCTAGAATTTTAGAAATTGAAGAAATTTTCCGGTCTACGTAGAAATATCAAAACAATGCAATCATATTTTTT